TTGAAGCAATTTCCGGTGGGTTTATAAAATAGTAATATTAACTTTTAAAAAGTACTGTTGACGTTCGACCAATTATTGTGTTCGAACGGTTTCATTTTATTCAGTTATAAAACATAATCGTATTTTGATTCCAAAACACTCGTATTTTACGAAACATCGAAATTTCTAACGTATATTCGTTAATTTCGCTGTCAAAACAGATGTGCGAATTCGAGACAATGGCAGCGCCATTGTGGTCAAAAACATAATATTAACGGCCCGCATAGAACCCAAATTGAAGTTATACGAAACAAAGCCGTTCCTAATTAATACATTAGGTTCCGAGCCGACCGTTCGGGGGTGAAATGCGCAGTTAATCATTTCGGCGAAAGCCGTTACGTCAGTCGAGAGAAGGGACAGAAAAAAAACCGTTCCCTTTTCGAAGCGTCGCCCTCTCGCGAGAGATTATCGCGCACCAAATGGCGTCGGGGCCGTGCGCTCTCGGGGTTTCTGATTTTTTTACTCCGCGCGCGATAACGCGCCGCCCGCCGATAGCATCGATACGTCGCCGATAAATCACGGCGTTCGGCGATAACGGGCGGTTCCCAGAAGGCGCCATTGTCGCCAACGGCCCGCGTTCGGGCCACGGGGCTCTGTTCCCGTTAATTGACGCTCTTTCCCGGGCTCGTTCCCGCGACGCGCCGCTCCCGGGCGGAAACGTCACGCCGTGTGAAAGCTGGTTTCACATGTCGTGACGTGTGACGGCCGCACTACGTTGACGAGTAACAGCAGTTAGGTAAAGATGACCGCGTCGCCATTGGCACATTGGGTACGAATCTATTAAGATAAACTCATCGTATCTGCAGTGCAAATAGAAAAAGAAAAACTCATTTTATACATAAAAAATCTCACTCAGTTTAGATGCTCAGGTAGCATCCTTTAAAGTATGAATTAATCATCTTATGTACTCTGCACCATAGCCTTGCTTAGATTGTAAGAATAATTTTTATTGTATTCTGATTAGATGTATATTAAAAAAAGACAATCTTAAACAAACATTTTGAAACGGCAACAATGAAGACAAAGTTTTGAAAGAAAATAAAAAGAGGATTTACGGATGGTTGGATGAGTTGTTATCAAGAAATGCTCATGGCGACACAAAATGGAAGAACTTAAAGCCAGTTTAATAACAAATGAAATCATTTAGTGTGTCCGTTAAATAGTTAAATTAATAAATTAAAATATGGATCATAAATCAGTGTAAAAGTGAGATTAATTAAGCTGCGCATTAATCTATGACTTCATAAAACAAAAGGGATTCAGGGTGCGAAAGTTACGTGCCCAGAAAAGTTTACAATCCTCCGAAACTTTAATAATCAATATGGATTATGCTACTTATTGTGGTAGGGCCGCGCTTATCAAGGGAAGTAGGGGATGGAAGGCCTTACAGAAGATTACGTGAAGCGCAAGTATTGTACTTTTACGTTTTTCTTTAGTTAGATGTTAGCAACGCATCTGCAACCCAACGGGACTTGTAGATTGTCCATACTTACCAAGTCCTGCTGTTGCAATAATGGTAAGGAGCGTATGGGGAATATGGCCTCACGGATGATCGGCTTGAAGTTGAAGTATTAAAGTTTCGCGTTTCGTCCGGTGCATGAGGTAACCGGGGCGCACTTTAAAGGATGTCAACGCATCTGCATGGGGTCAACGCATCTGCGTCGGGTGTTTTAAATTTCCAGGGGGGCGGTACTTAATTAACTATTATTGCTTTGGATGACTCCGTGGCGCAGTGGCCAAGGCAATGGCTTCAGCGTTGGGGATCTTGGGTTCGAATCCCGCACGGGACAACTATTTTGTGTGGCCCACAGATAGTTGATTCGCATCTGGGTGTTAGTCCACGTGAAAAATATGTTTCTAAGATGTCCCTACAACACAGGATAATGTTTATCCTAAAGTAAGGACAATGTTTAAAAAATACACTAAAAAAAGTATAGACGATGATAAGCAACTAACAAATGATGAACCGTCTGCACAAGTGCCACCTTCTCACATAAGTAAACACCAATCGCAACGAAGACTTAGTCTTTGACAATTATTTAACGCATTACATAATTATTTACACAATTAATGCGAAAAGCCCATTCATTGTCACGACTTGTACACTGAATCCCTCGTAAACTTTACGGACGCATAAATTCCAAACAATTGATCAATCAACTCTAATTCATATCCGTCCCAAACGTTTCGGCTTTATGGAAGGCGTATATAATAAATTTTAATTCCGTATATGGGGGTGCGATTGTATCGAATAGGGGCGATACTTGGACAATATCTCAATGTCTGCGTTTTTGATTTACACCGTTGAACGGAACGAGAGAATGCCAGGTGAGGTTTTTTCCTAACAGCCTGGCGCCATATGAATGCGTTTGGCTGAATCAAAATGACCGACCGATTTTTTTTTATTGATAAGGAGGCAAACGAAAACGAAAACAGAAAGAAAGAAGAAATGATTTCTTTCTTTCTTGTCGGAAGAGATGATTTCTTTCTTTCTTTCTTTCTTTCTTTCAAAGCCGTTGTAGGGCCACGCAGCAGTCTTCCGTCCGTCCGGAGAAGTACCACTACCTAACAGAAGACCGGCGTGAAGTGGGAGTGTTTTACGTCCGTGTCTCGTTATCGCTTTACATCAGGTGAACCGCCAGTTTGCTTGCCACATTAAAAAAATACACGCCGGAAAGAGGACTTTTGATCCGTCCCGAAGCAACACCTAGAGTAGCGGAAAGCGCCATTCGTACATTTCAAATGTTTGGACTGCTCAAATATGGTAATATATTGAATACATGAATTGTTAATTCGTCGCATCAGCCGCTGTGAATACGGCGCCTTCCCAGAGTGTGGGGGGGGGGGGGGGGAGCTGCGTTGCTAACGAGCTGGGGGCCTCCCAATAACAACTTTTTCCACCTTACTTAAGTGTTTATACGAAATATCTCAGCGGGTCGCTTCAATATTAAATCAATTACGGTCCCCGAGTGCGTGGTTCGTGTGCCGGCACCTCTCTGCTAGACTAAGGATTAAGACTGCCAAAATATACAATATAAATCCGACGTCCCTTTGTAATATGGTGGTGCTGATTTTTCGCTCTATACACAGAGTACCAAAAGGAGGCGAGGTTGTAACCATAGTCGTCTGATATATTTAATAAGCTTCTTGCTATTAACTGATGTTAACGCATTCTGTCCCGAGACTATTAAAGCTTCATCGTACGCAGAACCGGTGGGCTAGCCAGAAGCCACAGGTTTGAGGTCCGACGTATTTTAATAAGCTATTGTATTTATGCAAGTCATATATATAAGTAAATTTCTGTACTTTTGTCCGTCATCTGACTTATAAGCGTACGATCAAAATTGTTGTCCCCATGTGGATAATATTGGTCACGCGTATTACTCGTAGTTTAAATGTATCGCAATCATGTGCCCTATGGCGAGGTATTGATCGTACGTTTCTGTTGCTTAATTATTGCATTAACAATCAATACACTCAAGGTCCTGATTTCGATGAGGCTTTAAAAGTCGATAAGTGTAAACTGAAACATAACTCGCTAAAGGTACAGTCTGCTAAACTAGCCAGTTTACTGAAGTTAAAAATTTACCGAACGGACGGTTCGAAGTTCAACTATGTTCAATAAATAACTCTAGCATGTTCGTTCCCACCCCTAAACACATCGTTTTTAACACGAATATCGAGTAACCTATTACACTAAATCGCTCCTTTACCAAATCCCTTTTCAAAGCCCTTATTTCGTGAGTTAACACTTCACTAAATTCAACCTTGTGCCTCAAACAATAAGCGTTGCGGGTAACGTCGCCGATATGCGGGTGGCTTGCCCATTGCTGCTTAATTGGAACCAACGCTGCGCGCAAAATGTGATTCTGAAGTCATAGTGGTAGCGTTCAATTTGCAACGACAACGGAGCGCTGTTCCGTCAACTAAAGGCACGTGCAGCACGCGTCCAAAAATAATATTCGGGCGCTCGGACAGTTTAAATATACGTTGATGTAACAAAAGAGTGATTACTCTAATTGGTTTTCGGAACTGATCCCAATTAAACCGCCTGACGGGCGCGCCATGCTTATTTACTAATTGAAATTCCCGCTAAAAATTACCGAATTCGACGTCGTTCCCGAAACTGTCTCGTATCGCGTACCATCGGCGAGGGCTATGGCCGCCTTGTCCGCTAAAACGCATTTGTCCTGTGCAAATTAGATTTGCTAATTTTGTTCGGGGGCGACATGCGCTGCTCATACCCCCGGGACGGAGCTGTCAAGTCGCGTGCACTCTGAACGGAGAGGTTTTATTACTATTCCAAAACCAAGAGATTTTCAAGTCCTTGGCTAACGAAGCGACGCCTTATTGCATTTATTTCGTATGTGGGTTATTTACACCACCAACGGCGGCACCTCTTACTGTAGTGGTAATGGTAAATGGGGTAGATGGAAATCAAGCAAAAGATTTATTGAGCTATTGGCTTCTGCGACTCGTGTTTCGGGTTCGATTCCCCACATGGGGCAAGTATTTGTGTGATCCACGGATAATTGTTCTGGACCTAGGTGCTTGTGTCCAAAGAGGTTTCAGTCAATACCTTTACTCAAGAGATATAACGCTATCAAAGTGTAAACCGTTTTATCATAACCGAACCAGTTTTACCTAATATGTATATAATAAATATCGCTACTTAGGTCAGTAGATGTTTCAGCTGAAGCAGGATGAGTTGGGAATCAAGCAAAAGCCAGTCCTATAATAAAAAGAAAACATTCAGTACATTCATTGTAAGCAGCAAACGCTTTCGTAACCAACTAATAATAGTATTATTAATGTGAACAAACTTTACATTGTAACTGACAGCGTCACAATCCCTGGCAAGTGAGTTGGCAGCGGCGTTGCCGGATGTCGGCAATTAAGACGTCATTAACTGATTTACGAACTTCATGTGCCGTCTTTTAGATCGTTGTGAATGCGTTGAAATGGTACGACACGCGTCTTCCCGCAGTGAGATTCAAAGTCCCGACGTCCGATCGCCGTCCAATCCTAAATTTATGACCGCGCTCGTTACGACAAATCGACCCGGGCGAGTGCACCTGCCACAACGCCGGTTCGCTTCGGGGCGCTTACGAGAAAGGTCCTCATTAGGCGACGAAAAAGGTCAGAGGCGATCGTATCACCAAATAGGCGAACATTAAAAAGCCATCGTTGGCTGGATTAACAAATGCTTAGGGATTCATTAGGGGAGGGCGGCGGGAGCGCCGGAGGTCGCGCGCAGCACCTGTCGGCGGGAAATGGTTTTGTTTCGTAAAAAATCGTAAAAAAAAAAAAACGATGTTCAGCTGCTCAGACCATTGTGCCGTTGAACGAAGCGTGTGAAGAATAGTCCCAAGTATTTATGGGCTTTGTGTTTGTTTCAATTATTCCGTCCCTCAGCCACTATAGTGCCTTGGATAGTCGTGCTATTGTTTGCTCATATCTGTCAAGTGCATTTATTTATTATGTGCCAAGATAGGTGTTTTATATAGTTATGATGTTATGCTAATTAGACAATTATTGTTTTCTCTTTAAAAACTTTCGCACTGATATATAATATAATGTAAAGTCTACTTAGAAGGCTTAAATATTGATTAATATAAAATATATTGTCCAAATATTATATGATTAGTTTGTTAATTTTATTTATGTTAATATACTTTAGATATGGTTGATTGCGTTGCAGACTGTCTTATCGATGCAAGTCGACCCTAATCATCCTCAATGAACCAATAAGTTTCGAATTACCACGACCGCCCTGTGGCCACGACATCTGCGAATAGTCTCGAATACAAATTGGACGTTTTGGTGACAAACATAGAAAGAGTTAACAAATAAGTTTAAACCGGGTACGAGAAAGATGGATGCACCCCGAGATTTTTTTACACTGATGCTAAAGTAACAATCAGTTTCTTATTGTTTTAATTACTCCACCATTTTTATACCGAACTAGCGACCCGCCCCGGCTTAGCACGGGTGCAATGTATTACACATATACCACTATACATAAAACCTTCCTCTTGAATCACTCAATCTAGTAAAAAAAACCGCATCAAGATTCGTTACGTAGTTTTAAAGATCTAAACATACATTCCCTATGTATGCTTAGATTCCAGACACAGCGGGACGACTTTGTTCTATACTATGTAGTGACGAAACGTATTAATGTGTGCTGTCAGTCTGTTTAGAAATAGGAATAATTTCGGGGATTTTGTACGCGTATAACATATCTGTAGTATAAAATAACATTGTGCCCACCCAATTAACATTACGTAGCGACCAATTAAAGCTCCCAGCTAAAGCTGCCTCCGCTCAATTTCGTAACATCGGAAACGAAGAAGGTCGTCCTCGGGAGCTCCGGACGGAATGATTTGTTGCTGGGTACACTTAAGGGCAGGTGACGGTCATTACCGGCCCAAGGATGTTGAAACAATACGGCCTTCGCCCACCCCGGCAACACCTTTTAAAAAGGCAGCTGCCGCGCGGCCCGTGACGTGTCGTAAATGACGCGTTAATGTTTATCCTCGGCCGGGGAATGAAAGCCTCCTATGGACGCTTAAACAATCACCCGGGAACCGTCTCGAGGGCTACGGGATTCGACAATAGGGTCGCATTGTTGTACGCTTCGGGGCGGACGGACAAACAGACGTTTCCCGGTAAGGAGGATCGCGCATTGTAGTCTCCGTTGAAAGAATTCGCCGTCGCTATCGCGTTCTGTTCGAACAATGATTTCGTCCGACAAAGACCGTTGACGGTCAGATGTGGCGGAACGGTTGATTGTCCGTCCAGTGTTTCATTCACTAGAATTTCGGTCACACTCGCATTAACGAGATAATATTGTTGACGCCAAATTAACGCTCAGTGTCAGGACTATGCTGGTGTTGGAGAAAGGATCATTGTTTAAATGATTAACGATGATTTTGTGAGCCCGTTAAACGTTCAATTACAGTTGTGAAAAAATTACGTATCTTTTCTCTTATGGTTTTGAATTGTAAGTTTTCTTTTATTATTATTAATCGGTTAATTTTTTTGCATTTTTGAACTGCGTTTAACTTTGTTTTATTATTTCAGGTTATTTTTTTTAAACACATTCAAAAACTTCACTGTATTTTAAAGTAATAATAAGTATCGATATTGTTTTGGTATGAAAATAAAAATAAAATAAAATAAAACCAACAGTTGGTACCTTTTGGTGCTGCGTTTTTTGTTTAGATGTTTGTAGTTCAAATTGAACGAAATTTGGCACACAGATGATTTTTAACCTGGAATAACTCGTAGGATTCTTGCTCCAGATAAATGAAAGTTTGTATGTTGAGATGTTTCTTAACGAATCATGCAAAAACAGAAGAATATATATTCCACTATAACATTTTAGTACAACTGGGGCAACCGGATCTGATCCTAGATGCTTTCTATTTGTTGTCTCTTTCTTTAGCAATAGTATATAAAATTGAAAAGAGACTCAATGCTGCATAGTATAATGGACGAAGTGTTCCTCTTTTTTTACCCACTCCGGGGCAAAAGCGAGCGAATCATCGCCGTAGATCATGTTCAAAATAAAGATAAGACGGCCCCGCGTAAATGAGACGGCGCTCACAAAAAGCAGCCCGTGAGCAAAAAGGGAACGCTTGTTATCGTTAAATTGTTAAGTCTCGTACCGATTTTTGGTGCACCGGCTTATGGAACCGTTCGGCTGCGGTCGTCTGCTTAGCTTTATGGTTTTTTTCCATCGTTCCCGTTCCGAGAATCGCGCGGCGGCTTTTTGGCGCCTTCCGCGGTCCGCGCATTTTAACGTGTCTGTTTCTTTTTTCTTTTTTCGTAGCCGGCCTAATGCATGCAACATTTGGCGCGAAACAGTTCACGTTCGGAAATGTTTGCGTTCCGTTTTATGCGTTTTGATATGTTCCGATTGCGGCAATCTCCACTGAAACTGTATACGCGATATATAGTGATGTATAAGTTGACATCTTTATCATGGCAGTTAATGACGTGTAACTCTTACGTTACGTAAGTGACATTTCATTTTAGCGCGGTTTCATGTTCGCTTCATGTTCAATTATTAGTTTCCGAATGCGTTCCCGACTCGCGCCGTAACGAGAAGTGTCGGGATATTTTAGACGTACGGACATTACGTTGATCGAGAGGTGGGTCGATGGGGTGGATGGCGAAACGATTGAGACCGACCAAGGTCGGGAATGAGATTTGGCGGGTTCGACGTTCCTCTTGCGAGCCAGTGAGGCGCCTCATGTAGTTTTTTTTAATTACACACTGGCTTTTGCTTGCCTACTTCCCTGCCACTCTCTAAGTACTGATGTAATCTTAGATGGCTAATGCATTAACTATCTGAGATTACATACGATTAGACACTGGCAAATTATTTCAATTGATATTGGTTTAATCGTTATTCGTATTGATTCCCTTTGGGCAAAAAATATTTTTAATTTTAAAAATCTTATTAGTGTTGATCCTGAACTAATATGCGTGGGCAATTGAAGACGTTGTGTGACAGCGAAAACAATTGCTTTTACCGATGTGCAGATACCAATAACAACTACTTATAGTATATAATTGTATACCGAGAAAGGAATGAAACATTAGCGTTTGTGTCACTGTGTATTCAAGGCGTAGTTGTTAATATGTAAGAAACCTCTCAGGTAATGACTATCAGTAGATCTTCCATTCTGCTTAAAATTCCAAACTCGTAAGCCCAATTTACCATCAGGCCAAGGAGCGGCTCTCATCGTTGGTATCGCAGCACTAAAAATCCAAACTTGCCACGCTCTCGGCACATCACTAGTGTCGGTGGTGTCCCAAGGTCAGAAACTGATGGTCGGCGCGCAATCGAGTCGGCGTTGTGTCGGCCGAATGAAAAAGAAGGCGTTTACTTGCCGCCAGTTCAAGGAACCCGGGCTGGCATCTCGCGGCTTTCGCGCCAAGCTATCGACAGTGGAACGCAATGGTAGTGCGTAGTACGTATTGCTTTATAGCGTTTGTCTTCGGTGGGTGGTGAAACTGCTTCTTGCTCTCGAGGGCGTGGACTACGTAATCACCATTGGAGGAATGTTGAGGGTTCTCGGGTGTCTTAGTTTTTATATAGGTATCTGTGATATTTAAAAAATTACAGAAAATAAAATATTTGACTATGTTTATCAGTCACCCAATACAAGCTAATTTGGGACTGGAAAGTGTAGAAATACGTTTTATTTTTCTCCTTGCGATCACTGGAAGATCAAGAATATTGTTATTGATGTTAACTTTTCACTAGAGATCACGATTTTCCGTATTATCAGGATCTGTATAATATTAAAGGCATCAACTACCATCTATTAAAATGGAAAAAATGCATCGACAATAATTGCATATACTTTGCGTAAAAGAGAATTGCTCAATTTTTTTGGTACACAAAACGACAGTTTCATAGGTGAGGATAATTTAATAAATAATCCTTTCAGTGACATTAGTAGAATACATAGGATAGCATCCTATATAATTCATACCGTTGCGTGTGTGAGTGCGTATTTGTCGGTGTGCGTGTTGTTCAAGACGAAATTTCGCATTGCCCACCGCCGTCAAGCCTCGGGGCAAAGGTTCGCCGCACGGACAGCCTTCTCGGAATGCGTTCAGATGCCGCGATAGGCCGCATCGGCGTCTCCCAATCTCGCCCGCTTTTTTTCCCCCTCCGCTCTGGGTTCCAATTACTCGGGCCGATGCACTATTTGATCATTCCTCTCGTTCGTTTTGCCTTAATGCAGAACCACGCGGTTAGTGTGTTCGGTTTTATTTATTTACTAGCTGTGCCCGCGACTTCGTCCGCGTGGAATTTAAAATAAAAAAAATCTAAAATAAAATTAGCCTAAGTTACTCCTTATTACATCAGCTATCTGCCAGTGAAAGCCCCGTCCAAATCGGTCCAGCCGTTTCAGAGATTAGCTGGAACAAACAGACAGACAGACAGACAGACAAAAATTGTAAAATTGTTAGTTTATCCTTTCTACCGTTCTCTTAGCTGGAACAAACAGACAGACAGACAGACAGACAAAAATTGTAAAATTGTTAGTTTATCCTTTCTACCGTTCGGCCGCTTTTAGAGGCAGTTTCAAATACAATGCCACTAAGTGCCACTAACTGGGAACAACCTCCCGCCTCCCTTGCGCGACCTGAAAACAGTAACTGGTTTTAAAAACAAGTACAAATTGTATCTGCTTGTAGAACAAAAAAATTCTGCCGTTTAATTCTAATTCTTATCAGCTTAATTATACGCTATAATATAATATAATAAAATACAATGTAATATGATTTGATACAATATACTTTAATATAATATATATACATAACATTTTTTTATAAACGTATATCATAATTTATATATAAGACACTCATTTTCTTACCTTTATCATGTGGCCAACGCGCTACGAGGTCTGTCTCGCATTTTACGTTTCAAATTAAGTCACGTGTCCACTGCTCGATCGGTAAATGTCACAGTGCCACAGAGTAGGGATAAATATTGGCAACCTAAAACCAAAATGGAAATAAAGCAGCTGACACCAATATCAAATAAGAAAACATTAGTTCTAATTTTTACTTTTCTCTTCAGACGAATGATATCCACTGTCTATATAATTGAAAGGTTCAAACAAAAATAATTTAATTATCGCTATACTGCGTTGTAGGTATGTATTACAAGTGCACTGGCGCAGCCGTCCGAGTTGTCTCGAAGTGCGGGCGGACTGAAAACCGGCGTCGGGATCAGAACGAATCTTAGTTACTGTATCTCGACTTTTACCGAGTCCCGTCCGTTTCACGGTCTTATGCTGCTACAAAGACCTTCACTTATTATTGTTATTTTTTTTAGTTTTTTTTGTTATGTTTACATTTATTTTAAGTTATTCTAATATTATTTTACATAATGTGTAGTTACATTATTATTTTTAAGTGTTCTATGTATCTATTGTGCTTAGACCGTGAATAAACGTTTCTTCTTCTTCTTCTTCCTGTTCTTCTAAAAAATGTCATTTTGGTATATGTACAGTGTGTACATCCATATGTATTTAGTAAAAAGCGGTTATTTTAATATTACAAACAGACACTCCAATTTTATTTATTTGTACAGATTAAGTTGTATATTTAGAAAGAAGACGTAATAGTAATTCAAAGAGTTTGGCTCCGATGCATCATTATGTTAGATACATTTGTATTAATAAAAATAGAAGTCGTGTCTTGTTATAAAGTTAAGAAGAATAGAAAAGTTACAAAAAAGAAATGAAAAAGAAAAACAAAACAATCTTCTGCACTTAAGATTGAACTTTAAGAAAAAAGCATGAAAAGTTTTTCGTCGATGTGCGAATCTTGCTATTGCTTGAAATGCGAAAAAGGAATGTAGATAAAAGACTTTGCGATTTTCGTCGGTATGGCAATGAGCCTTAGCGCCTTAGTTTAGCTTAGTGGTTAAAGCGTCTGGGCGCGAACCCCGAAGACGTGGGTTCGATTCCCACAGCTGCGAAAAGCTTTCCGTATTCCTTTCTACAAGCTCTAAAGATTGGTGAAATCAAAAAGTAATTGTTTGATTAAAGAAAAAAAATTAAAAAAAGTTATAAATATGAATTATTGTAGATAAATGAACAAAAACCTTTCGTACACATTTTCCATTAATCGATGACCTTATTGTGGGAACACAAGGGAGTAAAGAATTTTTATTTTAGTTAATACTGATTCAAATGACCGAGTCTGAGTCTGAATGAAAGGGAGGCAAACGCTATGAAAAATATTCATACAATCCAATTGAGAACCTCCTCTTTTTGAAGTCGGTTGATAAATCAGACTCATGTTTCATTTTTTGTTTCAAGTTTTCAATACGCTTACGATTCGTTCAAGTTTGGAATGCATTTACGACGATGACGTCGCATGTTATTTTAATTTCGGCCTGTTTAGAGTCCAATGCTGAACCTATGTTCAGGAGGCCTATGCCTCCCCCACGTCGCATGTCACAAACCGTATAACTGTAACACTTTTTTTACTATCTGTATATGTAGGCGTATGATAAATAAATTCTTTATTTTGAGTATATTTTTACTATTTTCATCTTTATTTAACACACAGAAACACGTTCTTCGGTCGTTGCGTCGTTGCAAGAGAGAGAGAGAGCAATCTCTTTTACGTCATCCATCTTTCCCATTCACACAATACTTCGTTCAAAATCATCTTTAACTCAACTACTAAATAACAATTATTAGATAACAACTATTGTGTTACTGATACTCTTTTAATGCTTGCTTGTGTTTGTTTCCGAATTTGCCGGTGTTTGTAACCACACAGCGCTTAGCCTGCCGTCACTATAAATAGTAAACGTGAAGACTACATACATCATAGGGATGTCGAAAGAGAAGAAATATATTTGTATATCGATGTTTATAAAAATATCAATATAGGCCTCGATATGTCGAAGAGAAGATATCGATATGTATATATATATATATATATATATATATATATATATATATATATATATATATATATATATATATATATATATAGAATACAGGTCCTAGAAACCCACGGACTATGTGGTGGATTCGAATTTGAAAGACTTTCGTTTATGATACGGTTTTCGATATTGAATATTTTGTATCGATATATCGGATCTAAATATATCGGCTGATATGGTCATATTGAATATATCGTAATTTATAATAAAAAATATCAATGTATCGATATTTCTTCGACATCCCTAATTCATCGCTAAACATTTATGTACCCCCGGCGACGTATGACGCTCGGTCGAGTGTTCCGATCGATTTGACATTACACTCGGGCCCCCGCTGAATTTCAACCGCACTCGGGGTCGGCTGTTGACCGTCTGCTGCGTGGCCCGGGGTCAAGGTCGCCGCGTGGCCAACGATTTGACCGATTGGTGGAGCGGCGCGTGTCGTATGTACCTAGCGCGCGAGCGTGCATTTGTGTGGTGTGCGCGTGTGTGTAAGCATACATAGATATAAAGTATAGTTTGAGCTTATACTCGTCCCACTGCTGGGCCAAGTCCTCCTCTATACAGACGTCACCACGCGACAACGCTGCGGATTGGCGGATTTAACATAATTAAATCAAATTAAATTATTTTTTTATTATTTTTAAACATGCCCGTTTTTTATCGCGATGTTTTCCTTTATCACTGAGTACGTGATAATTCAACACTTAATACACATTAATTGGAGCCGGTCCGGGGTAAATCTCGGTGCTCCGCGGGCTCCCGAAAATAAAATAAATCCCTAAAAATTAGGTTGCTCGAGTATAATGATTTAAAAAGCAGCGCACAGACACTGAACTATTACGGCTCAATATATGTTGTATACACTAGCTTATCGCCCGCGGGCCCGCCCGCGTCTAAGCCCCAAAATAATCTTCTTTCTTTTTCTTTTATAATTTCTTAATTTTTTTTTTATAATTTCTTTTAATAAAAATAATCCTATGTCCTTTTTAATACTCCTAAGAATATTTGTACAAAGTTTCATGATAATCGGTTGAGTAGTTTTGGTGCAACTTACATTCACACTTTATAATATTACCTATACAGCGTGTCTTTACAATCGCGACAATAAATGAACACGCATATAGAGGATAACTTTTTAAAATTGTATTAAACATTTACATTCTTTAAACATCAATATTTACTGAGTTATAAAATTTTCCAAAACAACAAATTTTAGAACACCCTTACGTATAAAACTGTAACGTAAAGTTCATTTGTAAAGGTCACAAAGCATATGAATGTTTTGAATGGATTAGAAAGAGACAAAACATAGTGTTAGAAGGAGAGGCTTGTAATGCGACGCTGTGGCAACGAATGAAAAAGTCTCTGAATCTATGAATCAGTCAGTTGTAGTTGTATAGGCTGTTACAAATTTTGTTTCTTTTTTACTTATTTAGTTTGTTTAAAAAAAAAATTTTAATTATGGTTTTTTAACGTTAATATTTTTTATGATTATTGGCAAGTAGCGTTAGATGTGTCTTCGTTTATTGTCGCGATTGTAAAGACACGCTGTATATGGTAGGGATATATATATACGGTCCTCTCCCGGGATCGTTTTGTTCAATTCGGCGAGCTTCCGGAGCGCCTTTGATGTTACGATCTTGATTCTTATAGTACGCCCTACCTTCACATTACTGGGATTGGAGTTTATTTAGGTTTGGATTGCTGGATACGCCACTAGAAGAGAACTTTCCCGAGCCTGTCTGAGCTTAGTCCATTCGTTATTTCACAATATCTGTACGGTAAAAATTTGGGAACATTACACAGCGAGTATCACGATTATGTATTAACCGGGTCAAAATTGACCTTTTTACTTTACGCGAATATTATAAATATTAATTGAAACAAGTTTATGGATTTTATCGTGATTTAATTTTTATTTTGTAATTCCCGTTGTTGCAAACCCTTTCCAGCGTTCATGAACATAAAATCCGAAACAAGTTTCATTTTATACTCACACTTCAATTTGCCAGCCATTAATAGTCCGTACTTCGTCTTTTATTGTTTTTTTAAACCTTCGTTGTTCGTTCATCCATCGTGATTTGCTTTTATTCAAAAACGTTCTGATCCTAAGATAACATCGCAAGTTTGGGACATCTTTTGTGGGGTTGCAAACATTTAACAAAGAAACTCCACCTTGGCAAAACGTCACGCTGATCTCTTGTAGAGTGACACTTCTCCGATCCATTCTACCGACAGCACAAGCGGCTGCTGTAATAAAAAACTTACTGCCTATTTGATTTGCAAGTAATCGCTATTGCGTACATTAGAAATAATTCTACAGTGTAAGAGCAAATTAGAAGCCTTGTCGTTTTGCACGTAACACAGAGGACAGGCTGATTGATACGTTTAGAACGGCAGGATTTCGAAATAACTGCTCTCTACACGTTTAATGGCCACGCAAGTAAACAACAAATCAACAACAAAGAGGTGGTAAGACTCCCTTAAACCATTCAAAATATTAGAATAGCATTTAATTTATTTAGAACTTTATTTGGAACGGATTTTATTTAGATAGTTAATCAAAATACGAAATACTCAGTACTTTTTTTTTAATGTTACTTGATCTCAATTCTTTGTAAGGCAACACAATTATCAATAATTTGATGACTCCGTGGCGCAGATGCCAATGCATTTATTGGCTTCGGCGTCGGGGGTCGTGGGTTCGATTCCCACACGGGACAACTGTTTGTGCCACCCACAGATAGTTGCTTCGCATCTGGGTGTTTATCCTCGTGCTATTTATGTTTGTAAAACGTCCTTACAACACAGGATAATGTTATCCTAAAGTGAGGGCAATGTTTGAAAAAAAAAATAATCAATCAATTTTTGGACGTTTTATTTTAATACTCCGATACTAATCTCTGGCGACGCCCGCGAAATTCTCGTTTGATATCTAGAATTACTGTACAATCTACACTTAATCAGTCTAGACCTTGAGCTTTAAAAGTCTGTTGGAAAATGTTAAATATTACTATCAATTTATGGTTATATCTTTTTTTAACCCCTCCCCAATACTTAATATCTGGCTACGCTTGCGAAATCCTCGCTTGATTTCTAAAACATCTGTGCAATCTACACTTACCTAATCGATCTAGACCTTGAGTAAAGCTGTGTATTAAAAACCTTCTACCTTACCCCAAGTAACGTCGTGCCTGCACAGAGGCGGTATCACGGTGCAACGGGTTCACACCCCAGTTCAAATTTCCACCATAGCGGCTGATGTACCGTCGGCACACCATACAAGTCAACCACCACCGTCGGTGTCTATTACGGTGACAGTGTTGAATGTCGACCGAACAGAAATATCTGGGCGTTTAAACGGGCGTCTGTCACACCGTACTTCGATCGATTTTACAATGTGTAACGATGTTCCAGTCATCACACTGACTAATGTGGAGAGATGACATGATGTCATTTTTTTAAAATTAGTCACAGGTAAGAAGAACGACGTAACGGTTTAGAAGCATAAGGAAACGTTTCAATAGATATCTAACTTAAAGGCGAACGTTGAATTAGTTAGGTTTCAAGTAGAAGTAGTTCGGCGAATTTCGTAACTATCCAGTCTAGATTTTCAGAATCAGATCAACTAAGACGGAACTGGAACCACCAGGCGTACGTGTAATATACATATTACAATAACACATTTATTTTGGAATTGTGAATTCGTATATATATATAAGCTGTCTTTTGTACCTGTTTAGTCATAAGCACATCTATTCTTTAAGTAACAATAGCCTTATACCGATGCATTTCATAAGACTAAAGGCTATTCGTTTAATAAGAATATATTCTCCGCGAACCCGCTGTCTCGGTCCGTGCTAATAACGTCGAATAGTTTAATGGGCGACTCGCGCGGCACCGTATTGTAAAATATTGCGACGTGCGTCATTAAAGCGAAAACGAACTCCCCGCGGCAAACATTCAATCAATATAAAACCAAGGCTCATTGCATAGTGCCTCGTAAAACCGCTGAATGCAGCAAACCGCCGCTGCGCAGCGACTTAAACTGGACAGAGCAGAGCAGAGCGGGTATCACCACCACGCGGTCTCCACTGCGCATTGACGGACTTCACATATATTCGAAATAATTTTTTTGTTATTATTTCGAACATATGCAGGTTTCCTCACGATGGTTTCCTTCACCCTTGAGCACGTGATAATTCAGCACTTAAAATTAATAATTTCATTGGTTGCCGGCACCTAGGATCGAACTCAGGTTGCTCGAGTGTATTGAATTAAAGGCGAGCGCCCGGACACTGAGCTCTAGTTAGGAATGCAACATTTAATTTTGCTTTCAGCGGTGATTCGATTAGCTAATGCAACGGTACCAATCGCTCTTAAGGCATTTACGCATCAATACACGACGGACTGCAATCGATCTTCAACCTTCTAAGTGGAAACGGCAGATTTCGAGTAGGTACACGAGTTGATCCGTCTGAAATATCGACCTCCGCATTGGAATAAGCAAGCAACCGCCATCTTAATCGGTATCTGGTCTTGAAGAGGATTTCGTTATAGCATGCCTTTTACTAGTTCATGTTTTTGCTTTAAGTCCGTAGACTATTGAAGCTCCATTGAACATAGAATTAATGGGTTCGTCTGAATACAGGAGATGATAAGGAGCTCCGCGTGGCTTTGGGCCGATGTGTGTGTTTGTCCATGTGCTGACGCGTGCCTCAAACGTCCATCCATTGTGTTTTTCTTTGAGTTTCATCAGAAGTTAGAAGATAGCAAGAAATTTTCCTGATGTAAGTGAGCACCGCCTATTCATCTACAATTACTTACGGAATTGTAGATGCTGTGAGCACCATTAAAACTGACGGCCCCGGTCAACTCACCTGCCAAACCAAACGCAAAATTATATATAAATATGTTAGTATTTTATAACATACTATTTATAATTAACTGTTATTTTATGATATAGTTATTACATAGTCTCGCGAAATAAAGAGGCTAAGGCCATGTTGTTTAGTTCTCAGAGGACTTCACGCTTACTGAAAGCCGATAAAGATTTAGAACTAAAAGTTCCAAACTAAGGTTTCCTTTTAGGTCCTCATCAACCACATGTGGTTGTGATAATGGCCAAAAAAAGTTCTGTTAAAAATAATATTGTTAAGTAAACATTTTCACGTTTCAAGTAAATATTTTGATAAAAAAAATATTTGTATCGTGCCGTTCTTTCGTGAGTCCCTGGCACTTATAGTGTCGAGCCCAATCCTGTAAAAGTACCACATAATACTTACAATAAGTAATCTTTAAAGTAATTGGACTGTGGTCTAGTATTTTGTGGAGATTATTCGCCTCTATTTTGTTCAAGTTCTGCTTTCACTACATTCCGCAATTGGCGAAGGTGCATCATGTTTTATGATCGGTTAAGTTTAGTACTCGCTTTAACGTATACGATAGCTTTAATATTAACTCACTTGTTATCCATAATTTCAGAATATTACGATGCTAACTTCTATGCAATTACGTTGCAGGTACTGTTTATATTTTCCACGGATAAACGTAATGTTGGTATTAAATTAAATAATTGAAAGATCGTTCTAGCATTTTAACTTTACCTTCGTTTCCGTATTTTACGAGTATATGAATAATTAATGAATCGTTCGTAGGAGGAGTTGCTAACTTCTAGTTATTTATTTTTTAAGTGTAATCGACATGTGTTGTGTGTGAACAAAGTCCATAAGAGGTTTTATCGTTCGCCGCCTTCGCCTTCGATTCGGCGTCGGTGTGATTTCGGCGCCGCGCTAAGCACTCAAGCGCGCCCGTCCCGAATACTTTTTGTTCCCGTTGACAATTCTAAATCGGGCGCTATCCTAGCCGGGCTATATTCGAGCCGCGACCAACGTCGTACACTTCCTGTTACGCAACACCGTCGCAGACAATCGACCGTGCCGCGATCTCTCCGAGCGGTCTATTGAATTTCGACGGAGCCGAGCCGCCCGTCGAAATCCTTGCCGAACCGTGTAACCGTGACGAAAGAAGTAATTGTGTCAGTTGTACAATGCGAACAGATCACCGCGTGTTTCTGGTTCAAATTTCGATGATCCATGGCGCAGTCGCCAAGGTACTGGCTTAACTTGTTGGATTCCAAGACGGAAAACTATTTTTTTGACCAACAAATAATTGTTTCGGATCTAAGCGTCTGTCCATTTATGCTTGTGAAACGTCCTTACAAAGTTATATGTCCGCATAAAGTTATCCTGCAGTAAGTTTACAATGGTTATTTCTTAAATAAAAGAAAAATCCGCTCAGAATGATCTGTCGCCTTCTCTTAATTGCTTGATGAGTCAAGACGTCGTTTTACTCTTAATATGAATTATCGAATGGCGGTAGATTTCGACTTTATTGCTTCCAGCCCGATTATACAAATATTAGGGAAGTCGTGTATCGTCTTCGGTGTCGGATTTTTAATGAGGTAAGAAATAAAACAACAAAATCGTCTTCTCGTTCCTTTTGATTTTGATAGGTTCGACTTCGACAGAGATAATGTTTTCACGTTGGCTGGAGCCAAAGCGTAATAAGAAATATAAATACTATAAAGAAAAATTGTGATACTTTCTTCTTGTGAACTTTCTTCTACAGGTTACATTTTCAATATGTATCAAAGAGCAAAATTAGGGTATGTAAGATCATTTTTATCATTGTTAAATTTTAAATTAAAAAAAAAATTACTTGTGGAAACTACTGTAAGTGAGAAATCATGACAGTAAAAGGAATAGTATAAAAAAAATCAACACGCATAGCACTTATGGGGACTCACTGATTAACTTGATAGTAAATAAATGTACTGAAGTGTAAGCATACGTCTAAATAGGTCAATTGGGATATTAAATATTTGTGCAATTTTTGTAAGTTTTGAATCTTTGTATACTTAATAAACCATTATGTAAACAAACGTTTCGGGAAATAGGTGATGATGCTTGGTTGCTGTTGTTTATGGGTCGTAAGCGGGCAAACTGTTGTCGACATTGATTCAGTGCAGTTAATGTGTGGTTTGTACAGCTGTAGATCGCCTCTGTAGTTTTTAATTTTATTACGTCTAATCGCTCTCTTTCGTTAGGGATCGTTGATGCTTAGTCCGCTATTGTAATCGTTACATCGATCAAAGGAAAAGATATAAAAACGGAACCCTGATAATCATCTAAGTTTAACACGGAATCACCATTGCAGTAAGCGGACAATAGTTTATTACTAGTCACAATGAAAAATAATATCTAGAACAATTAACCGAACTGGTCCTAGGTTATATTAGGCTTTTGAAATTCAAAAAGCGAACAAAGCTTTGAAATAAGGAGTTTTGAAATCGATTGTTTCCTGCCAGCGGCGTCATTGTGCGGAAACGCGGTTCGTTGCTAATTCAAACAGAACAACGTTACAAGCTGACGTCTGGCGACAATAAGCTTGCTGTTAACAGGACTGACTAATAACCCTCTCCCCAAATCTCACTCGCTTTACACCAGACGTAAACGTGAGACAGTCGTTATTGCACGAGAGATATGAATAAAAAGATAAGCAGACACACTTAAGGTTTCAACCCGATCTAAGAATATAAGACCTCCAAACGATGGATAAAGATGAATCTAAAAGTTCATGTCATCAGGAAGCGTGGGGTTAATATGTCGGGCCCACGCATTTCGAGTCCGGTCGTATCCAGTGCGGTGAGGTCGTGTGCCAAACTCTTTCGTGACTCACCGCAGCGGACAACTCCGCGAATAGCTTGCGGTGAGTTGGGTAATCAGGATTAATGTGCGAAATGGCGATCACGAGATAGGTGGCTATTGTTTTTCGCGAGGACCACTCTTGTCTCCAGTCTAAAAGCGAAACTGAATCATTTAACGTACTTGTAGTAATCTTATAGCTGTTTGCGCCTCTTCTTCTTGTATTTTACTCTATCATGATAACTAGCTAGTTTGAGTATTATCGACTGATTACTTATGTGTCTTCAAGTTAAGGTTAGCTTCATAATCATTTAGTAAGTCAAGTTTTATCTGAGCTTCATAGGCATCAGATATCATTCCTAGTTGTCAAAGGTTTTGTCATCGGCAGCTGTGAAGGCTCCAATGTTGACAGTGACAATCCTGCTGACGGAACCAATTTCTGGTTTTCCGTCTTCTACGCGTGTAATAACTTTCAACGTTAGAAGTTTTGTTTCATTGTTTTAACTTTTATACAAAAAAATCTAATTATATATAAGAAAAAGCAAAAAATAGTGACGGTAGGGTGTATAGAAAATGTTTGCTAATGGTAAATGTATTTAAAAGGTTAATTAAGAATTCCTTTGGATACAGAAAAGATTTTCCCGAAGGGATATGTTTCGTTTTTGTTCTCGTTACACTAGCGACCAGCTCCTTTATTTTATCCGACATTCCGAAACACGATGACGTATGCCCGATCCATCCCAGTTACTAGGGCCAACTTTTGGGATGAATCCAACGCTTAATTAGCTTGAACCGGCATGATGGCCATTAATTTCGTCGATGCCGCTACACATTAATTTCCCGCCAAGCGTGTCGGTGGACGCGGGCGCCATGTTGGATGCGCACGCGCCGCTGCGCGCCGTCTAATTAATACGTGCCCTTCTGCTTCTTCATTAGATCGCAGACGCGTTTTTATCGATGTTCTGTTTTTCATGTTCGCCATTCGTTGGGCGCATTAAGTTGTAATACGGAAATGCTTATAACTAGGAAGTATAAGTTTTATCGGCTGTCTGTTCGATTTAACGCGAAAAATCAGACCGTGCTAGTTTGCGAAGGACTTTTTCTAAAACTGTTTTAGTCGATGCAGCATAAATTTATTCAAGTAACAGCTTCACCGTGTACTCGGCACAGGACTACAACGAGGCTGTAATGAGGGTTAATAATGCTTCATTATAATTTTAAATTGCGTTGAAAAAAACGATTTTCTCAATCACCCCCGGATCGTCCATAAAGTGACGCTGGGGTCGTTAAGCAAGCATATGGATATGATAAAATAAAAAGACCTGGTGACTTTACTTTAAACTCAGGAATTGGAAATGAAACTATTGCGATCATAAACTAGCTGAATCTGCATTATATCGTCTAGAGGCGAATGACGCCGCGCCGGTGGCCTTGAAATTAGACGGACGCTGGTGGTGACCAGTGGGCCGATTGAAAACCGAGCAAAACGAAAGCGGTCGCATTCCAGGCGGCTCGACGACCTGGACCGCAGCGAGGAGCGACGGGCTCTAGTGATGTCCACGGAACCGAGTTCCACGGCCTTCTGCGCAGTTCTTGTGCACGTGGTGTGGTTGTCCATATATGTTTAGGATGTTTAGTTCTCTCCGGTTCGCAATCTTTTAATGACTGAAGTGTGTTATCACATGAGTGGCATCATTCCTAATCATTACATAATAATTATCTTCATCGGTTGCTGTTTTTTAAATCGACTTCAAAATAGAAAGACGTTCTCAAGTCGATCGTATGTTTTATATGTTTTTTTTGCATTGGATTCGGTTTACGTCCCGTTTGGTTCCATATTATTTTCATTTATATTGTACCTTAGATTACGAAGATACTTCAGGGAACTGCTCAAAATCACGTAGAGAATGTATATATTCGAAGTCGTATAATATCTCGTGTTCCATGTACCACGATCCAATTTTTTTTTCCTTCGAAAGAAAACATGACATATGGGGCGGATAACTCTGCCTGGGATTTTGCGATTACACTCTTCGTTAATACGTTTAATGGCCGATGTAATCGAGACGCGCGAAAGCGGCCGCTTCCCAACACCCGCTACTTCTCGAGCTAATCGGGAATCGCTCGAGCGGGCACCACTTTCCCACCGCGTCCGATCGACAGACGGATGCTAGACGGAACACGATCGCGCCTGATGCATCAATAAGTCGCGTACACCGACGCCAGCGGTGTACGCGACCGCCAACCGCACGCGAATTTCGCCCCAATTGCGATAGACGTGGGCGCGATAATCGCCCGACGCGCCAATTAATTGGGCAATTAGCAACACTGTCCGCTGTACCTGCTGGATGATTTGTTTTATACAAGCGTTGTTACATCGAATGCTAAGAGACGGCCGCTGTTGCATTGACGTTCCAATCAGTTCCAGTTTACAGTTAATATAAAAAAAAAGTGCGACAATTGAATTAACAACGGTGGTAGGGCCACGCAGCAGCCTCGGCTTTTGCACGAATTCGTACCGTATTATTTTTCTTTACTGAATAGTACAATTGGCTAAAATATAGTACGGTACTATATTATAATACAGTACTATATTATAGTACGGGTGGCAACCCTAAACTCACTACCAGAGTGCGCTTATGGCATACAATACAAGTAATAACCGGCAATACATTTTATACACCTATATATTATTTATTTTGATATAACTGATTCACAACATCCATTGTCACAGTCAGGTTTTTTTTAAATAATAATTACCGAAATGTCCGGTTTTGAAAATAAAATTATACACACCAAGTGAGTTTTAATAAACCGCTTGAAATACCCACAAGAACAAAAGAAAGGGCGTATTAGGAACGTAAAGATTTTCGTCATTCAAGTTTTTTTTTGTAAGCCCCGACCTTGCTTATCTGGCTCATCTGAAGGTTAGTTTTCAAAGCTTTTTTTTCTTGCATTCTGCTTAAAAAATATTTGAATAAATGTTTGGGTTTTATCGTCAATTCGGCTCCATCCTTTTACAAGTATATCCGACGGGGCCGTAACAAACGCGCCATTTTTGTGATTAACCCCCCCGCGCCCCACCCACCCCTCGTAACGTCGGGACAAATTGAAGTAACGCTCTGCTCTGACCTTCGCAGGTCGCGGTCATTGTATCGTTACCCTTTCCAACCCTGACATTCGATGTTATTGTGCCGTTCCCTCTATACCTCTATACTCTATTCTAGTACTATTCGGATGGGGAAAAATGTAAAGTAACAGCCTATAAATGTCCCACTGCTGGTCAAAGGCCTCCTCTTTACAGAGGGTATCAGGCCATAGTCCACTACGCATCCCAATTTCGGATTGGCGGACTTCACATATTTTCGAAATAATTTTATTTGATAATATTTCGAAAATATGCAGGTTTCCTCACGATGTTTTCGTTCACCGCTGAGCACTTGATAAGTCAGCACTTAAAATTAACAAATTTCATTGCTGCGAGTAAATTGAATTAAAGGCGAGCGCCCTGACACTGAGCTATCACGGCTCTTGAGTGACATGTTCTTGGTCACCTCACTAAGCGCGCCGCTGGTTTGCGCTCGCAATGTGTCGCACGAACGAGCGCTGCGGCGAAACAAACGCCCCGTTCAACGTACAGAGATCCGCCGTGACTCACGCAGTCCCAATTTGGATGAAACGAGGAAGTTCGCATCCTCGCAACGCCCGCCGGCGGCCAATTGTAGTGTTCGTCACATGCAATCCTCGTCGCTATCGCCGGAGCAGCAGGGGCGACTCTCGTTTGATGGAGTCGACTCGCCATTGAGCCGCTTGGGCCTTCCTGATTTCGCTTTATGGCGTGGACGAACGTGGGAGGGCTGTTGCGCCGGTCAAGGGCGGCGTCGCTGTACCGCGCCAAGGTCACGCCTCTGACCGACACCGCAGTGCCGAAATTCGCCGCGTTACGCAAACGCCCCGTAACGTAACGTCCCATGTCGCGTTATCGACGCTCAATTGTGGACTCTGTTGCCGAGCGGCACGACTCAATTTGCGATGAGGTCGCTTAACGATCGCAGACTGTGCCGCGTCGAAGAATTACAGAGACGTTATCTAAGATTCGGACCTCATCCGTCGAGTTGTTATTTGCCGATGGAATGCCGGAGATTTCTCGGCTAATTTGGTCGCAACGTTTCGACTTCTGCTCTCATTTTCAATGAAATGAACTGAATCTGTTCAAAAAGTTGGCTCTAGACTTGAATGATAACTTCTAGAGTTGAATAACAGCAAATTTTAAGACGATACGACCCGAACTATCCCCGAATCGATCCCCACTGCTGGAAAAATATTGTGTGATGAACATGGTGTTTTTCTAGTGTCTGGGTGTTTATATATGTATAATATGTATTTATTTAAAAAAAAAGTATGTTTAAGTATATTTATCAGTTTTCTAGTACCCATAGTACAAGCTTTGCTTAGGTTGGGACTGGAGAATGTTGTGTAAAAAAATGTGTCCTAAAATATTACAAAAAAAAAATGTGTCATAACTTTGAAATGAACGCATACGAACTGTAAGAAGTTTCAATGGATCATAGTATAGACAGCTTGAAGATAGTTCTGATCTCGTAACCGTGACGTTTTTTTTTTATAAATTGTTCGAAACTTCCCAGAAATAACACCATAATTGAACGCGCAAATTTCCGTAAATTTATTTCATTTGACAATGGATAGAATTCGCGTAAACAATAAATCTATAATTTTTCAGGGACTTTTTAGTTACCAGTATTTTTGGAGCCACTAGACAAAGATAATTTCACTACACTAAAGCCATAATAAATTAAACTATATTACTTATATAAATAACAATAATATTTCAGCACTTTATCAATCAATAAATCAAAGATCTTTTTTCAAATAGACGCTTACGCGTTCTTATGAATCATCAAATTTTACATAAAAAATCTTATCCTTTAAACGAGCAATTCTTGTGTGTATATATATATATATATATATATAATCGGAATCTCGGAAACGGCTCCAGCGATTTTCATGAAATTTAGTATGTGCGTAGATTCGGGGGCGAAAAATCGATCTAGCTAGGTTTCATTTTTAGAAAATGTCCTTTTATCCCTGTTTTCTCGGAATGAAAAATATCATTCGAATGTCACGGTAAATTTCGCCGCGAGAGAAAATGTCATAATAGCTCGTTCGGTAATCGGGCGGCCCCAAAACAGACGGCTGTGGTTCGTGTCACGATCATTTACACACTCTTTTTTTTTTCTTTTTTTTTTGATTCAGAGAATTTTGTTTTTTTTTTCCCTTTTTTTAAAGTTGTTTCTTTTGTGAAAAACACCACTTTATATTTTCTTATTAATAGGTCGGTAAGATCGAAAAATATTATGCATATTTCATTACTCAGTAATTTGTAGTTAAATTTAATTTCCAAAATACACGATTTAAAAAAAAAAAAAGCAAACTGAGCAAAGCTCGGTACTCCAGGTACTTATACATATAAGGTACCACCGGTTCGGAAAGCAGTTTCTGTTGAGAAGAGACCGGCAAGAAACTCAACAGTTGCTCTTTTTCAAAAATATCAGTTTACAATATAAAATACCGGTATAATAGTCTTATCTATTGTCTACCCTACGTGAGTATCAACAGTATTAACTCCACACATTGGCGTCGTCGAGATATTCCGCAATAGTAGTAAATTACTTTTATCAATATGTTATAATTGAACCGTGACATAGCGTAGCTACCAGGTCTTACTGTTGCATGAATGAGCTGGCTGTATCGAAAGGGCAGCTTCGTCCGCATTACTTTCAAACGTATTGTTGTGATGTGTTGGCCATCAATCATCATCGTGTGATACGTTTGCTCGTTGCCATCATCCAATATATCTTCCATATCTTGTATATCGTAGTATGACAAGTTGTGGCGCGATTTCACAGTGAGGGCCTCGGACACGAACGTGGCCCCGATACGGGTTTTGTGTGCGCTCGTGTCAATATTGGCTATCGGTTGGCATCCTTGATCGGGCAAACATTTTAAGGGCACTCGCACGTTTGTTCTCGTATCGGTTGGGCAAGAGCGTTTATCTGAAACGTACACTTTTATTACATCAACAGCGCAAGGAAACTTAGTACGAATATTGCCTGCGTCTGATGAAGCTTTAATAGTCTCGGGAATGAAAGCACAAACATCAGTTAATACAACGAAAATTGATATCGTAAAGTATTGATATTATGAATATAAATGTCACATGTAGGTGGAAGGGATATGGGCTGTATGGATGTGACAACGCGACTTGGAACACGATGTATCATCATCATCATTTCAGCCTGTTTGAGTCCACTGCTGAACATAGGCCTCGCCCACAAATTAACACGAACCACGATCCTGAGTCACTTGCATCCATCGACTTTCGGAAGATTTGCACACATGTATGTACAAATATTATTAAATATTCGAATGTTTATGTTAGTGCGTAAACGAGTAATGGTTGAAACTATTTTATTGTAATTAAATATAGATTAGAATAAAATAGATTTAAAACGGGCAGGTCCCTCCTGGGACGCGCCACAGAAGATCGGCGTGAAGTGGAAGAGTTATACTTAATCGCTTCTTCTGGTGAGTGAGGTAACAGGCCCATGTTACCTCACTCACCAGAAGAAGCAATTGATTGAAAGGTGGCAACACATCTGCAAGCCTACGTGTGTTGCAAATGTCCATGGGCGGCGGCTATCACTCCACATCGGGAGAACCGCCAGCTCGATTGCCACCTTCTTATATAAAAAGGTGGCAACGCATCTGCAACCCTACGTATGTTGCAAATGTCCATTGGCAACATCGGGAGAACCGCCAGCTCGATTGCCACCTTCTTATATAAAAAGGTGGCAACGCATCTGCAACCCTACGTATGTTGCTAATGTCCATTGGCAACATCGGGGGAAACGCCAGCTCGTTTGCAGTCTTCCTTCGTGTTTGCGATGTGCCCATTAAACTGTGCACGGGCCGGCTGTGGGCTATGCGTGAGTTTAGCGAAGCGTGGGCACGGCCCGGCGGCGTCGCCTCGCCCCCGGCTGTCTCTGACCCCGTCCGCATCGCACGCGAGAAGCCGAGCTTTGTCGGTGTTGTCTCACTTCGACGCCGAAAGGTGCAGTGCACTCGGCACTCGTAGACGTATTTCCCCGCGCCCAGCGGAAAGCACAGAGATTTCAGAGGGTTTTTTTTTTATGTGAACATCGCCGCCCATGGACATCTGCTACACCCGAGGGTTTCAGATATTGACAACCTTTTGAAAATTGGGCTCCGGCCACCCCACTCACCGGACGAAACGCGAAAGCATTATACTTCCACTTTACGCCTGTCTTCTGTGAGGTCGTGGTACTTACCCGGACGAGCCTGCCCGTTCGTGCAACAGCCGAGGCTGCTCACGCAACACTATAAATAAAAACCGGCCAAGTGCTAGTCACGCGCGCGAAAGGTTTCTTACCATTATATATAAAACTGCAAAAAAATTTGATATCGGCTGTTGTATGGGGAGCCCCAATTAAATAGTTTTTTTTAGTATTTGTTTGTCATAGCGGCAACAGAAATATATCGTATGTGAAAAATTTCAATTGTGTAAAGTGTAAAAAGTTGTAACACGGTTCATGAAATTCAGCTTGGTGACAAACGGACAGACAGACAGGTAGACAGCGGAGTCTTAGTAATAGGGTCCCGTTTTACCCTTTTTGGTACGGAACCCTAAAAACACCTTTTTCTCCAAGCGATTGATGATAGCATAACAGGTCACGTAAACGATATCCAAAGTGACCTTTGAAAAGGCTGTGAGAGATCATGTTTGTTTTGTTTTCTTCAACTCAAAAAATTATAACTTTACTTTAGCTCGCGGATTTCAAAGATTTGGGACATGTTTGTACGGGACGACAGGATTTTTAAAGCTTTTTTGTTTTTTTTTTTATGTGTAAAGGGGCAAACGAACTGGTGGTTCACCTGATGTTAAGTGAAAACCGCCGCTCATGGACTTTAGCAAACACCCGTAGGATTGAAAATGCGTTGCCACCTTTAAACAACGCCTTTAAGAACGCAGAAGTGTAACACTTCTACTTTACGCTGGTCTTCTGTGAGGTCGTGGTACTTACCCGGACGGACCTGCCCATTCGTGCAACAGTGATATGAGTATATCATAAAAATTAAACTGTGGTAGGGCCAGGTAACAGTTTACGTGGCCCTACCACAGTTAAATTGGTAGTGCTCGCATCGACATGGTGGATTCAGCTCTGCAGCGCCAGACGGTCGATGATCGTTTGGCACTCAGGTCTTCGTATTCAGTTGACGGCCCGTTCAGGGATGTACCGCGGAATGAAACTGCCTATAGGGATGACACTTTCTAGTTTATCGTATCGTTTGGTGAGTAGGTGGTGACAACGATACTCACTTTGTTTATGAATGGGCAGCGATTATCACTTGTGTAGAAATATTCTCCAATATAGGTAAATTAATACACAAGGCTTGACTTATTCACAGATATTTATTGATCGTTCACGAAATCACTTCCGTACTTCGAATTTAAGACACTCCTCCTTCGTACAATTCTTATTTTTCTTTCTTAGCTGCTCTTGTCCTCCCTCTCCCCGACTTCATTTACAATCTACCGTCTTAGTGAAAATATAATCAACAGCAACGTGTATTTTTCGAATCTTGGAGTAGTTATTAACTAGAGCGGAAGTATTATTTTTATAAACTATTTGCTGCATTTAATAAAATAATCTTTAATATAAATAATTTACGTTAAATCTCATGAAATTCACGACCTTACACTTGTCTGGTTGTCTTGCCGATGTCAGGTTCCCGAACTAAAAGGAAAACGCACTGCAAGAACCACTCGCTTTCTCTCAAAGCTCACAAACAGATTGCAATCATAAAGTCCTCCTTATCTTTATCCACGTCGAAAGTTACGCAATTGCTTATTTATGTGTATTTGTGAGTCCTTGAGACATCGCAAAGCTTGTTCGGTCGTTGCACCCGCTAAAATATACAATTATGTAAATTAGTACTCGTATAAACATATTATCATTAAATTATGAATGTGTTATATATACTAGTAAATTCTGTTTTTGAGATTGCGTAGTAGATATATTACACAGTCCGTATGCTCTTCCTTTAGAGTGTTGATGATTTTGGTAGTAACCAAAGAATAAATTGCTTCGGAGCGTCCCTTGTCTTTTCTTGACACGGGGAAGTTCAAATTTGACATAAGTAAGTAGTGGTGATGAATCTGTATGCCCGTTGCAAGATATAGTCGTCGAAGCGATATTGGTGAGATCTGACGGAATGTGACTGCGCAATAATGGTTTTCCTATGCTTGTTTAATCTATCTATACTGTCTATATAAATGTGGGAATGGTAGTAAAAATTGCAAAGAAACGGAACGTTGCGTGAAAGAGCAAGACGGATAGAGTGAGCGAGCGAGTATGAAGACCTATAGCGAGTGTGAGCAAGGTGTAAAGACGGAAGACGTGTGTAAAGTTTTTTAAGGTGAAATAAAGGCGTATTTATTAATTACGAAGAAAATAAATAATTATTCGGAAGCTAAGACCGTGTCCGCTAATTTTGAAATCCTTCCCCCACACAAATATAATGATAGAGGTCTACGGTTGTGCGTGCATCATGAAAAAATGCTGATGTCAATTACTTCTTCTAAGTTTTATTTTTTGACCCTTATCTAAAGCTTAAACATCATGAAAATATGGGTGTCTTGATTTCAATGATTACGCAAATAATGTCTCACGAAAGTTATAATAATTCTATCTCCATTTCATGTAACTTTATTAAAGTTTTAGGAAACAACGATTTTTATTAGCACTACGCGTTCAGTGATTTGTGTTTTCTTGCCGTGGAGAAGTCGGACAAGCGGTGTGGTTGTTAACATAAAAAGAGACGCAGAAGAAGTTGTGGATATCTAGCTAGTAGGAAAATAAGTTGTCACCAGGCTATATTTTTTTTTTTAAGACCGGCCACCTGCCTGACGTCGGTCCTCCTTTGTAAACAAACTCCCAGATCCAGAACAATCATCTTTGGATCACACAAATACTTGTCCCGTGGCAGGAATTGAACCGACGACCCCCGACGCCGAAGCCAATAGCTTGGCAACGGCGCCACCGAGTCATCAATTATACCAGTGATGTGCTTACGAGTTTACCTCCACAAGTTGCTAGTTTCGCATTGCGGCTTCGCTTCCTCGCGTGTCATATACACGCGACGCGATAGAGGAATCCTACGTCAAAAGCTAGCGTGTAATCAATCACGCTTTGATCCACCGAAGGGGGGAGCGCTTTCGATGGAGCGGGAACATGATTAATTTCATACAGCGTGCGTCGTTCGCCGCCGGGGCGCGGTCGGAGTGAAGAAGAAAACTTGTCAATTTCCACGATCAAAGGCCGGTTTTAATTTTGCGCGGATCCATACGGAGGAATTAATGTCTTCCCCGCGTTTTCGGCGTAGGCAGATGCGGAATACGGAGGCGCGGGCCCTTTGAAGTCCCCCACATCTAGTCCGCTCCGTTTGTGACCCAATGGAGTGCTTGTGAAATCGATATTTCTCTTTGTATATAAAGATTAAATATGTGATGTTTTGTGTATTCAGAGAATCCATCAGATATTATGTTTGTTTTTATAGTTTTAATTCGAAACTCTACAGTTGTAAGATTAACCGCCTAACACGGTTTTCATGTTTATTATAGTACTGTCAATTAGTCCTATAGTCTTGGGGTCATAGAACAGGGCTTAGGTATGTCCTGACTGATGTGAAAACGGAAAGGAACATAAGGTCCGCGAATGATCAGGGTAAGGGTCATTACTTAAAATGAAACCTAGTTGGACAGTGCTCCTTTTTACTGTACATAAGGTAATCGTTCTCTATAAATAGATGCAATCCATTATGATGCTATTTACTTACGTCTCGAACAAACCTTCAAACAATTAAGACCTGGACACACTCGGCCGTCCGATTCGAACCGAAAAGTGCGTAAAAGTAAAGAAAGTAAAGTAACAGCCTATACATATCCCACTGCTGGGCAAAAGCCTCCTCTATACAGAGGGTTTCAGGGCATAGTCCACCACGCGGCCCCACTGCGGGTTGGCGGACTTCACATATTTTCGAAATATATTTTTTTTGTTATTATTTTGAAAATATGCAGGTTTCCTCACGATGTTTTCCTTCACCGCGGAGCACGTGATAAGTCAGCACTTAAAGTTAAAAACTTCATTGGTGCCGGCACCGGGGATCGAACTCGGGTTGCTCGAGTATATTGAATTAAAGGCAAGCGCCCGGACGCTGAGCTATCACGGCTCATATAAAGTGCGTGCGGAAATACAATTAAGTTACGAAACACGAAATGAACGCAAATATAAATAATAATTCGGAAGTCTTGTCCGCGCCACTCGCAGAGGGCGCCGGGGGAGCTCGCTCGCATTTCGTACGCTCGAGCGATCGCTCTGGCACAAATCCAAACGGTCTTCTCGAGGAAGCGCGCAAAAGGATATTTATACGCGGGAAACGAGTCATTCATTATTCCGGGTACGTAGAAATGGGATGTTTTACTCTCTCGCCGCGGCCCCGTCGGCGGCTGTTGGCTCGTAAAAACCACCAGTCCTCGCTTATTTCCCATTTACATGTTGAAATGTGTGCGGGCATTTTTTTTCCAATGATCATTATCCTCCATGTTGACTTCTTGATTTTACGCGATATCTCCATAGTTAAAATCTTGTAACGGTGGTTGGGGAATGAAACAAGTGTTAATGTAATTGCGGCAAAATTAATACATTTGATTCTTTTTTTTTTATTGTTAATTTGCTTCTGATTCTTTCGCCGGGCTTAAAATATATCCGTAGAAGACTACATCGTCATCCGAAAAATAATAATTTCATTCTAAAGATTTTATGCCATGTTTTCCAACCGCAAAACAAAACGGCTTGTCAACTTCATTACTTTACCATCATGGGAATATATAACATAGGGTCTTTTTATAGACCTTTGTATAGACTTAAGCAGAACGGAGTTTAACATTATGTGAAATTATGTGAAATGGCCTCCCGAAAAAGTTGGCGTGCTCTGCCGGCGTTAAGTGGCGTTAACTGATCCTAACTATAATGTCCATTTGATTGAGCCCAACTAAGCAGGTGTTTGATGCGGCCGCCGCGTGTGATTATCTCGTTACTCGTTAGTTCCGCCCAAGATCCGGCGAGTAACGCACGTAATTGGCGCCGAAGGCCGTAACTCGACACGTACTCTCGGATCCTTCCGTGAGGTGAATGCTTGCGTTTCGTATTTGCTCGCCGCGATCTGTTAGAGTGCCCTGCACATTGCTCCTAAGCAACAGTTTGTTTACCTTTGAATTATGAAGAATGTTGATTTTAATTACGAGCGATCATTGAATGAGTGTCTCAGTTTCGGTGCACTAATGTATATCTAGGTAGATAGCAGAAACAATGATATTATATACAATTAGGAGGTCCTAATTGTATATAATGTCATTTTTTACATCATTGCTGTCTTCTTTGAAGGTTTTGCCTTCTTTAGGGCCACCCTATATAGATGCTATAGATGCTATATTTAGAATAATTATTGTCACATCGCGATACTGTTCGCCGGCTGTAATCTCCTTCCGCCAAAGAGTCTTTACTCGTTCCGCACTTAGTTTAAAAATCGCATTTACGGCGACGAAGTTCGTAGCGTTTCAATTCAAAATATAATCAGTTAATACAAGATACAAGAGCGTTTCAATTATTGGCCCCATTCAACTAACCAAGATGTACACATGATGTACATACAGACTACATTAGCCGATCCTCGCTGAGCCTCCCGGCGGCCGACCGGGGACCAGTAGATACAATTAAAACAGTTGAAGAGTCCGTCTGTCTTCGAGTGCTGGGACTTAATTACTCCGCCGCTTCATTAGTGCGAAGCTAAGCGGGTCTGTTGCTCGCAACTCCGACGGCGCGCCCCCGAAGCGGTCTGAGTGCGCTCCAGTGCTGTTACAAGTTGTTAATCACTTGGCACCGTCGCCGCGGACGGTGGGCGGGGTGCGCCAAATTGGAAATAACATAATCAGATTCCGAGAGCTGTTATGTAGTACGCGAAACTCGGAACGAAGCGTACGCGTCGTCGCGTACATTGAGGGAGCGGTGGAAGATTATATATATATATATATATATAATTTTTTATCATTATTATTATCTTAATCTTGAATAAATTTTAACACTGCTTGTTATTAAGAAAACAACCTATTTTTAAATTATATTATCATGTTATATGGTACAAAAAAGCTACTGAGAGTTTTCATTTATCGATCCGTACTCCAAATGAATTAAAATCTGTAAAAAGGTTACCGGTTAAAGGTTAATCTTGGTACGATGTTGATTCTAAGCGCCCGGGGAGAGGAGGCCTTAGAAGGCCAAAGTCGCGCCGGAGTTTGCGGAAGATTGCGTCTTCGTGTTCCCGTGTCACCGGCAAAAGTGACAGCGCAAGTGCAACATGGGTTTTTTAGTGGGTACCCCCGTGTTCCTGGGGACTCACACATACCCTCGCTGCCTACCCACGAGGCGGCGGAGGATCCATAAACGATTTTTCCCACGTTAAAAAAAATAATAAAATGGTACTATGTTGATAAGGTGACAATCAAGCAGGTGTTTCAACTAATCTCATGTTATTACCTCATCTCGTGGAGATCTCAATACCTTTAGGGTTGAGGATGCATTGTCAACCCTGAAAAGCGTGGGTTACGATTACCCTACTAATCAGACAAAAAACAACCGTACAATACTGTCCGTACAATACTGTTTCAGTCCACGCCGGTCTTCTGCAAGGCAGTGGGTACTTTCCTGGAAGGGACCGATTATTACTGCAACAGTTCTAACTGTGATAGGGCCATGCAACAGTCTTTGCTTAACCTTACGAGTCTTACATTACGTGAACCACCAGCTCGCTTGCCATCTTCTAACATAAAAGAAAAGACAGTAGGTGTTGCGTTGGCTGACCAAAGTTAAACAGGTCAGCTTTTTAGGCAAACAACAAATACATACTCCATATTGTAAATTCTCCCATACCACCCATAGATACGGAGTAATGAGTATGTATTCAGAGTTCATTATTTGGCAATGTACCAACGGTTCAGTGTAAATACTTCATAAATTTTTAAATTTAGCCCCTTGTAAAAATACGTACCGCGTGTTTATTTTTAGGCAATGAGCTGGCAACATTAAAAGCGTAACGACGGGTTAGGGTAAACTCTGTCTGGTCATTGACTGATCGCTAAAAAAAGTTGGACATGAATCAAAACTGGTATTTTCAGTAAATCTATGTTTACTCGTATTAACAGACGCAATTATTCTCGACCAAGCAACGTCTTCAACTGATGCATGCAGCAAAGCAACATACTCTGTTTCATGGGATTGCGTGAGACAAAATTAAATAAGACTTCTCTTTTTACCTGACTGCGCCAGTAGGAGGGTTATGTTTTTCGAGAGTATGTATGTATGTATAATTGTCTTGCGCGCTCTGCAGCCTGAAAGAAAGGCTTTGATGGATTTTAGCTTGAGAGGTGTCGTTAGATTCGTATTTACTGTGAGAGCGACACTGGGTATATTAAAATAAAAAATTACACAGGTACGCAATCGGTTTTTTTTAGTTTTTTAAATTAGATTCTACTTGTTAATAACGTATTTTACGGGCTGTACTGAGATGTCAGGCGTCCTGGTGTCATTGTCATCTCGGGCTACTGTCGGCTTGAAAATCATTAATTTTATTCTCATCCGCGCAGCAGACTAATGAAGTGTAACAACAGCATGATGTCGATGTAAGTCTTTTAGTGCAGATGCGCTCGCTAGGTCTGGATTTAATTTACAATGGGATCCCTGGCCGATGATAGAGAAGTCAACAATCATCTCTATTGAAATGTTTCCAAAGCCTCGCGAATCATCCTTGGTAAAATTTGCAATGATGATATATTTCTGTTGCCGTTACAACAACAAGTACTAAAAATAGAGTAAAGAAATTAATTGGGACTCCCAAACAACAGACATGATTTTTGATGACATGCCGTTTTTATAGATGATACTATGGCCGGTTTTGTTTTGTGAGGATTTGTGTATTATCAAATCTGATGTTTACTTTAAGTAAATAAATGTTGTTAAAATGTATGATATTAATGTACATAAAAGAACACTTCTCTTGCTAAAATTCTTTCGATGCGCATTCACATTGCGTTCGAGGGGTCTCCGGCATCTCTGATGGAATGCTTGGGTCCGACTTTACTTGAATATCGATACCATACCTTTATAGGCTAGGAAATCATATGTAGCCCCGTCGTTTAAGCAAATAGTTGTACCTGGTCTATTTTAAGGGAGGACGATAGACGCCAACTCTTAAAATAGACCAGACGTTGCGCCGCTTGCGGCGATTTCATAGCGATGCGCATGGTATCGATAAGACTGTGTCTACTCCCTATTTCCTTAGCTGTCGTGAGTGCGGATCGCGTTAGGGTGACGTCGCGCGTGCCTCGCTCGCCCGGACACGTGCCCCGTCCAAGGGCGTAGCGTCCGTCGGTCGACGCACTGCGCTTTTTCTCGCGTCGATTCGCCACTAGGGCTACCACGCGACAACCAATACGCGACATCCTCTTTTTTATTAATATCGTGTAAAACTACTAAATTTTTTTTGTAAAACTACTAATTTTTTTCGACAACAACCCTAGCATATATTTGCTAATTTTACTACTTCTGCTGTACGCAATCAACGTACTGTTGATTTCTATCGTGTCGGAGCTTACTCATATGCAAGTATTGGTGTCTGATGACAGGTAAATACTATGATACTAAAATGTGATTTAAGCGGCTGTGGTTTGCAGACTAGAGTTCTATGGCCTACTCTTACACTCCCAGTCACCCGTGACGATAAGTTTCAGTTTTCCCTAGGCTTTACTTATACTCAGCTTGTTATAGTTTCACATAAAAGCCGTGCCGGTGTTATCTACACATGATTATATGGGATTTAAACATAAAACAAGCATTGAATTGTACATAGGTACATGAATATACCGTACAAAATAGTTTTGTCCAATTGTTTTATTTAACCCTGTAATACATTTCAACTGAATCATAGTTACTAATGAAACAAAACATACCTTATTTTTAAGTCTATCTCGTTTTACCTTAGCCTTATAGTGGTTACCATAGTGTTGATGACTGCTACGGAATTTATTCGCACTTAGGTACCTGGCCAATATAATGTCTTCTCATCGGTTAGGTTCTTTTTGCTAGCTGCTCTTATTATCTCAGCGCTCTGACGTTTTTACGTTTGTCATAACCAATGCAATATCAGAGGCATTTGCATTTCGTCCAGTAAGTGATGTAATCGTTAAGGGTGGCAACGTATTTGCAATCATTCTGATGTTGCCAATATCTATGGGCACCGTTAATTTCGCCTAATTAAATTATCCGCTTTGCGTACTTTCTCTTAAAAAAAACTCAGGAAAACATTTAAAGATAACGAGCTATCGAGGCACACAGGAAGTGCGATAAAGCCGAACTAGATTTCCTACGTCTACTTAAGTGACGCTTCCATTCGAATGTCAGTTTGTTTACGCACCTTCGACGGAGGCCGGCGGCTCGCGGCTTTGCTGCCGGAACCGACCTCGGGACAACCCTGTCGCCTTGATTTGAATAAAGGTATCCCCCCAGATAACAGTACACACACAGTACAACAGCAAACACCATAGTTCGAGCACGGCGAAACCAAAACAAAGCGTACTCTAGGTACACCCGCATTCCACGGCGGTTCTCACCACCTCCAGCCACCGATTAAACAAGCACAGTCAACGGATATCAGGGTCACGGTCCGCACCCGATAGCCCGTAGGCGACACTCCGTTGCTAACGCACGCATGAGCACATCGGCGGCCCTACGCACTGTGGACGGCCTCAACCCCGTGGTTTCTGGCTAGCCCACCGGTTCTGCGTTCGATGAAGTTTTAACATCGGTTAATAAATAAAATAAATATAAATATTTTAGGCCACATTTTTACACAACATTTTCCAGTCCAAAGCAAAGCTTGTACTACCCATAGTACTTGAAAACTGATAAACATACTTTTCTTTTGTAAATAAATACATATTATACATATATAAATACCCATACACTATAAAAACACCATGTTCATCACAATATTTTTCCAGTAGTGTGGATCGAACCCACACCCTCTGGCGCAGGAGGCAGGTACACTACCCGCTACGCCATTCGGGTCGCCAAGAAACAAAAATTAAAGGAAACAAGATAAAATGCGCCAGTGACCCAGGACACGGGGTGTATTTTCCGCCGCATGCGGAGTTTGCAGAGACATGCCGGGCGTATTTATTTGTGCGAATGGAAATTTTCCGTAATGAGAGAAAATATCTTTCGTTTGTTGAAAGCGACCCGCGTACAATGAGCTGTCACGGCTCTTATGTCGTAAAATAACAAAGCCGATTTAAGACGATTTTATTTCGTTATTTCTATTTACGTTGAGTGGAACAGTGAAGTCGGTTTATAATAGAAAAACTGACGGCCAGCGTGGAAAAAATATTAACGCCGACTCAGAATTTATTGCAATTCGGTTACGTGAAATAGCAGAAAGTGACGTGAATACTTGTGATATTTATATTTGAGTATTATATAGTTAAACATAAACGATAAACTTGGAGGACTCCATGGCGCAGTTGCCAAAGTATTGACTTCGGCGTCGGGGTTCGTGGGTTCGTTTCCCACACGGGACAGCTATTTGTGAGACCCACAGATAGTTGTTTCGCATCTGAGTATATGTCCTTGTGATATTTATTTCGTAAGACGTCCTTACAACACAGGATAAAGTTATCTTAAAGTGAGTGTGATGTAAAAAAAATAAATAAAAAAAAATCCGTTATTAACTCAGCACCGTAGGTAGGGTCGGACTTGGTGGCAAAAGTTACTCGTACATACGAGTAACGACATTAGGGTATGATATATTCTAATGCGTCGCCCGCGTATCTGTGACGGATTTTACATTGTGCGCAGACACGTTTGGCGACACGGACGTTCGGCGGACGTTGACTCAACGTCCGACACCTAGACTCCGCCAAGGTCACGGCCAAGGCTATCGCCTTTTCGCCATTTGGCACTAGCATACTATTAGTGAGGACGAAGACATTTGGGCATGTGAACTAGCATGGACAGATTCACGATGCACTCGCGTGTTTTGTTTTTTAAATGAGGACGTGGCAAGCGAGGCGGTGGTTCATCTGGTTTTAGGTGATAACCGCCGCCCATGGACATTTGTAACACTTTTAGGGTTGCCACCTTTTAATACAGTGGGCACCGGCTACCTCACTCACCATACGAAACGCAGTATAACACTTCCACTTCACGCCGTGAGATCTCTTCACTTATTCACTCTTCCGTGATGCCGTGGTACTTACCCGGATGGAACTGCCCATTCGTGCAACAGCCGAAACTGTTGCGTGGCCCTACCACAGTGTTACCTTATACATCAACATCTATCATACTATAGTCTCGTCAACAGAAGAACAGATTGCGTTTTATTGCATTGCGGGGTACGGCGACAAACTCGACGCCTGTCACGTTCGGCAACTGAGCAAGAACAGCTTAATGTCTCTTCTCTTTTGCGATAGTTTTCCCTACACATTTAAAGTTTCACCTAAGTACAAAGAGTGGCTCTAAAATTAAAATTTCAAAGGCAAAGACGTCTCTGGCTTTTTCATCAAATTTTCATCGAAAAGATATCATTTGAGAAGGTGTGGTCGGTGTAATGGAAGTAAGTAACACGACCTCGCAGAAAACTGGCGGGAATTGGAAGTGTTGTAGAGTGAGGTAGCCGGGGCCCTCTTTATTATATGGTGGCAACGCATCTGGAACGCTACGAGTGTTGCAAATGTCAGTTGGGTTATCACTTAACATAAGTTGAACCGCAAGCTCGTTTGACTCCTTCTAACATAATAAATCCGTGGTACTTTCCTGGGAGGGCCTGCCCATTTGTGCAACAGCTGAAGCTGTTAACTTTATCCTTCATTGTTTGCTTTCATTGTTTGCTTTCATTGTTTGTTGCCTTTCATTGTTTGCTTATGCTTTATGAGTCTTCATACTTACTAAGAGTATAGTACTAAATGACTCTCTTCTCTTCGGAAGTCGGTCAGTTTCTTCAACAGAAATAGTGATCTGACGATTATAAATTTTATTTATTTATACTTCATTGCTTCACCTTAAGCATTGGGGGGATTTAATGTTTATTGACTGACATTCTCTACTAGTCAACAGTCTACAGTCAACTCTTGTCATGGTGATAAAATGGCTGGTGCTAATGAGTAAAAAAATAAAAGCAAATATATTTGCTCTGAAATCTAACTTTGTAGACAAAATATATATTATACACAAATCAATAAATAGACATTATAAATAAATGACGCTTATTTTGCAAGGATTGTCTTGGTTGTAAAAAATTGTCGCTCTTTTCGGTATAAAAAACATCTTGTAACTGATTGTGATTGTGTGTATATTTCGCTAAAGTATTTTTTTATGTGGACCACGCTTGTTGTTTTCAATATTAAAATCATTATCTAGAATAGACCGTACAAGATTTATGGTCGCCCATAATCAATTTGACTATATAGCAAGATTTTGTTTTTTGCGTTTCTCCTCCAATGTGATTTTATATCACTTAATAGAAAACCAGAAATACGATGATACGCTCTGGTTAATAAACTTCATATTAGACAGCATATGCCTTGAAAAATAACAATAAAAAAATATTATTTCTACCGTAAGATCAACTATGTTTTAGAATGGTTTTACATCAAGACTCGAGCAATCATCGGTTGATGGTATTAATTTGTTATGTGCGGGAATCGAACCCAAGATAACCCATGCAGGGACCTATGTGTTGACAACTACGCCTACAAAACATTCCAATGATGTTATATTCACGTAGATTTCAAATTATTATTTTATGTAAATTGAAGGGCCACTACAGGCATTATAGAAATAAGTAAAATGAAATATATCTTCACAATTATTATGTATTATATTAAAAGATAGGATTTAAATAATTGATTTTGTTGCCAATAAACTGAAATACATTCGCTATTATAATATTCTCTAACTAATTTATAAATTAAAGTAAATTCAGATAAAATAGATAAGAAACAATCCCATTACGAAACCATACAAATGGACGTTCGGAATTTAAAATCCCATTCAGCAGTGATTCTTTTACAATAAAATTCCCATAAATCTTCCTATATCAACGTAGTGGACTGTTTGAGAATGCCAAAAGGCATTAAAGCGTCTCTAGTTCTGCTCGCAACGCCAACCTTACGGGTGAGATAAATAACAAAGAAAAAATGTATGGTTCTTTTCGAGGTGCCAACCTTACCGGCGAGATAAATAATTACAAGGATTGAAAGAAAAAGAACCGTGTTATTAGTAACTATTTAGATTGACCCTGGAAGCAACACATTACCGACCTTACTCACGGCGGTACCGGTACGTGTTATCCGAATCCATTCCGTCACGCGGTAGTCGCCTCTCAGTCGTACATAGTTGGGGCTGATTTCGCTTGCATCGTGGAGAGCTAGACATCTGTAGGCTTACG